TCTGGTGCGGATTGCTAGGGCTCGCTATTTAGCAGCCCTGGGCTCCCTCTCCCTCCCCACTCTGACTCCTCTCCTCCTGCTAGGGAGCTGGGGTGAGGGGCGCTTGGGTCCCATCGGGCCGCAGCTTGTATCTTACCCCCTTCGCAAGGCACTGGGTTCTCGCAGGTGTGGATGTAGTCTAGCTGTTGTCCTGTGTCTTCTGGTCTCTCTTTTAGGAATAGTTGTATTTGTTGTATTTTCAAAAATATATATGGTTTTGCATGGAGATTTCTGCTGCTCTACTCACGCTGCCATCTTGGCTCAGCCCCCTCATGATTATTATTTTTACATAAGAAAACAAAAAAAGAAAGAGGCAATACCTTTAAAATGTGTTCAACAGTTTTACAAATCATATATCTAAGCATAAGGAATCACTTTCCCCCAAATATTTTGTTATTTATGTTTGTTCTTATCTGTTGTAGGCATTTGTGTTGCTACCATCAGTTTGGCATTATTGGTTCGAATTTCTTTTACATTTACATTGATGTGTTTTGCTGGTTTTAATTTGAAGGAGAAAATGTTTATTGCTTTATCATGGATACCCAAAGCTACAGTCCAGGTAAGAGTATATTAAGTCATCTAATAATTTTAATGTTGATGATTTTTTAAATTCTAAATGAAAAGTGTTACTCCAACCACAAAATGTGAACTATTATATTAGCCTCAATTCTAAAATGTTGATTGATTATAACTACTATTAAAATTAATGTAATCTTTTACGATCTCAGTTCTACTGAAATCAAAAAGTATACTTTTAATGACAATACTTCCTAACTCATGAAAACATTTTCTCTTTTCCCAAAATATAAGAGAAAAATACCTGAAAATAGGAAGTTTTATATTTTGCTGAATAGTGTAGAAACAAATATTATGGTTTAAATAGAGATACATTGATTCTTTTTAAAATATACCTTTCCTACCTCTGCCACCCACTCCACCACACATGAATGCATACACATACAGGATTTTTAATTATACATTTAATTTGTATGACTATTTGATGAATGACTGAACCTCCCACTTGACTATATAGGAAGGACAGGAACAGTATCTATTTTTTTCCATTTTTTTCTCCTAGTTCTTAACACAGTGCCTGCAAGTAGGAGGTACACAATAAACAAATATTGCATGCCTGCAAGAATGAATGATGAATGATGAATGAATGAGTAAATGAAAGAAAGGAAAATTTTGTCCTCTGATTCAATTAGATCCTCCTACTAAAAGGCATTGTTACTTTTTAACCTAGCAGCATAATGTCTTGATTTCCTGTGATTCTTTTCTGTATTGTTATCCCAAAAGAGAAGGTTGAGGGCCTCCATGCATCAAGTCTCTGTGTTGTCGTTGGAAAAGCAGGCCCATGGGGCCAGACGGCCTGCATGGAATACCATGTTCCTTGCCTATGACCTTAGGCAAGTTACTTCACCATCTCTCAGCACCCAGTCTGTAGATCCCAAACCTCTTCTCAGTTTTACTGTATCACACAGTCTCCTAATTAGGAAGAACAAAGAGAAGGTGAGCGACAATATCCTAGAGAAGCATAAGAAGCCATGTGTTTTGTGTTGTCTTGTTGCCTCAAGAACCTAGTGGTACATGGTAAATGTACCAGGTATCTAGTTCAGTTAGAACTCCTGGGGTTCTGAAAGTAATGTGAACAATCAAAAAAAGATACTTAAACTGGGAAAGCTGAGGACAAAAATACAAAAATCACCCTCAAAATGTGTGCATGCTGATTTCACTCTCCCTTCAGACATGTTTGCTAGGAAGAACATAGAATTAATGATATTCATGAAAATTCCTCAGTAGTTTAAGTCTTCTCTCTTTTCTAATAGTCTAGTACTAGGTTTTGTTTGTTTATTTTCACAGAGACATTTACTTTTATTATATGTTAACTTTGCTTAACATTTTTCTTTATGCCTCATCTTTTTCCCCCCTGAATGCAGGCTGTGTTAGGTCCTCTGGCTCTAGAAACAGCAAGAATCAGTGCACCCCACTTGGAACCATATTCAAAGGATGTGATGACGGTAGCATTTTTAGCCATCTTGCTCACAGCTCCAAATGGAGCTCTAATTATTGGCATACTGGGGCCCAAAGTACTTACATGCCATGATCCAAGCAAAATAAAAGTGGAATTGACAAATTTAGAAGTTCATTAAAAAATTTATTTGCTATCACCTGCCTACTTCTTTAATGAATTATCTTACAAAAGAGAAAATTAAAAGATGCAAATATGTGGAGACTGCACATAGAACCAAGGATTTAGTAAATATGTGATTTCACTACAGAACTTTCGTATGACTTTTTATTCCAAAGTTAATTTAATAAAAATAATATGAAGTAGAATGCCCTTTTACTGTTTTCATATCTCAAGAACAAAGTAAATCTGTAAAAATTCTAGGAAAGCTTAAAGTAATCTACCAGGCTGAAGTTGCTGTTGTATTTATAAACTAAGCATAATAGTAAATTAAATGGACCTAATGACAGAAAGGACCTAATGACTAAGTCTCTAAGTAGGAGGAGTAGAACTCCCTATCAGTTTAGCAATTCAGTTAAAAAGATCACCAGATGGGAATGTAAACTACTTACAGCCACTTTGGAAAACAATTTGGCATGTCCTCAAAATGTTAAACATGGATCAAACAATATAGCCCAGCAGTTCTACTCCCAGGTATATAACCAAGAGAACTGAAAACATGTCCACACAAGCACTTGTACATGTGGGTTCACAGCAGCACTATTCATGATAGCCAGAGAGTAACAACCACCCAATGTCTGTCAAAAAAAGATCACCAGAAAAAGAAATAACAATTACAGGAATAAAACACACCAAGTTTATAAGGGTCAACTAAGAAAGATTTTACGTTCTGATTTTACTGATGATCGGAATAAATAACTTGTTAAGCAAAAGAACCAAAGTTAAACTTGTATTCCTTCTGCAACACTCTTCAAATGACAGTCTGGTTTAGTACTTTTTAAATGAAACACTATCTGTAGTGTTTATTTACAGATATAAATTTACAACACAAATGGAAAAAAACCATAATTTTTCAACTAGTATAAAATACTATAGGAATTAAAGTCAGCCTGCAGGAATGAAAGATTAATAGACTATTGTCCATATGGATTTTTCTTTTCCTTAGTAATACAGAATCAACTTTTAATTCTGGCTGATGAAATCTGCTAGGCCAATATAGAATCCATCACAAGCAAAATGCAGTGTCAGTTGATTTCAAGATTCCTCATTTTAAAGTTGAAAGGGTAACATAAAAGCTTCTCAGACAGCTTTAGTGAATGGCCTCTTAGAAACTATTCAGACTTCTTTGGCAAAAGCCATATGCAGGGAGTAAACATTAATTGGGTTTCTCTTCCATTTTCTGTACAAGCAAAGTATTAAAACAGCACAGAATATTAAATTTATACCTAAATTTGCAAAATGAGGCAACTATAAGGCAACCAAAACTATGTATCTATTCCTATTAAGACTGGGACCTTTCACGAAATATATAACAAAAGTTGAAACACCCAGATAACTCTGGGAGAATATGACAGTACTGTTCTAGAAGTATTTTCTGCTATACTTTTACAACTTAGCACAGACCCAATGCCTCATTTTCAACTATTTTTATTCTAGTACTAAAATTTTAAATATTTAAACTACATCAAAGTTTTGATTAAAATTTAAATCATGAGAGCATATTTTTACTAATACAAAAATTAAAATATAGAGAAAATTGTCTTTTTTGTTATTTATGGATTTTTCTCTAAGTATTTAATTTATTGTTTTATATGTTCATTAGACCAAATATTCTCCTTTTTAAGTTAATGTGGCAGCTGTCCATACTTAATTTGAATCTGAAATTTTCTATTATAAAAGCTTTTTATAAAAATTAACTTTATTAATGTCACTTAAAAATTACAACCAGTTAACCATGTGTATAATATTCAAGTGTTCATGGTATTTAAATAAGTAAATTAAAAATATTGTTCCATATAAATGTATCAAGTGTGTCTTTGTGTACTCACTAAATTTTTTTCACTATTTAAGGAATTTTTATTAAAGCAAAAATTTTATAATCCAACTTACATTTTCTTCCTTAGTTATTAATTCTGTTATTTAATACAGAAGTGACATTCTGAGCACAGAATGTCTTTACCACAGTAAAGTACAAAATTAAAGGAATGCTTTTTTATACTTTGCTGAAAATTGTTTTTCCCAGTATCTATAAAATATTAGTTTTCATATTTTGCTTTTTTAAATTTCTTTTGAGTGTGTTTTTAAATCAGCAAGTAATCTAGGACTAGCATTACATTTGCTAGACCTAGTATTTGCTCAATATATAAAGGTCGCAATTTCCTTTCCTTTTTAAATTTATATTTAGCAATTTTTTTCCAAAATAAGTTTTTGGTGTTTAGATATTTTTCTTCAGTGAAGCACAAGTTTCTTTTCATGGTCCCTGATTAATCTTAAAAAGTTGGAACCCCAGGGCACTGTTAACTGCTACCTGGGCAGCCTGTTTAGCTTCGTGGGCTTGTAGTACCATGACAGCTTCATCAACCTCAGAACAGACAGACTCTGGAGATTCAAGCATGTGAAGAAGTTCTGAATCATCATCTCCAACAATATGCCAGTGATTTTAACCGACAAGGGTAGGGTGCGTGGCTTGAATAAGAGGAAGCAAGTATTCACCCAAATTTGCTTTTGCACTTCTGAGGGGCAGATGCCAACACAGCAGCAAAGACTCCTGACAGTGTGCATGAATAGCAGGCTGCTGCATGCTGATCTGCGGCTGTGCATTAAGACGTTGTTGAGGACCGTAAACTCCTGCAGCATACACTGTGGAAGAGTAAGGAGTGCAGGAGTAGCTACAGAGCAGCTGCAGTACTCTGTGTTTATGTGTTAGCAACACTGTTGACACAATTTGTGCAATCTGTGAAAAAGCTGGGCTTATAATGCTATATGGTGATCTAGGAGCTGCTGGACAGGTAGCACTGGACATATTTTGAACTGGAAGAAAAAGTCCAGTACCGTGAGCAGTCCATTGAGGACTTGGTCTCAGTTGAGCAATTTGGCTAGGAGGATAACATGCAGTGTGATTGTGAATCTGTGGGATGTCTGTCAAAGTAATCTGAAGGAGGAATGTGTTTGTGGCTGGTGTTTTAAGTTTGGTACTAGCTGCTCCGTCACCACAAGAGCCAGAAGTCCCCTGTATTCTTTCCATGTCAGCTTATGATTTTTAAATATACAGTATATTTCAGCCCATCATTATTTAGTTTTTGATTCTCAGATTGTCCTATATTTGGCCCTTGGGTCCCCTTCACATTTGTTTCTGTACTTTTTGGACATGGCGCTATAGTGTTGGAATGCTTTCTTATGTTCAGGCATAACAAGTTATTCCAGATTCATATTGCACTTTCCCTACTCCAGATATGGAGTCAGCTATTCTCCAAAAACACTGGTAACTTTCTATGAGAAAGGGTATGTTGAAATCAGTATCTGGGGGCCAGGGATGCTCACTGTTACTGGAGTATCATTGCATCTAGTCCTTTCCAGTAAACATTGCTAAGAAATACATGTTTTAGAATTTAACGGTTCACACTTTCACTATAGAATAGCAAGTGTTGTTTTCAGTGTTCATGATTTTAGAATATAATTCATAGCACTGATTATATTTAGTCAGAATCCCCTCAGTGATGATTACTGAAGTGAAAAAGTGAGTATTATATAAAACAATGCAATTGTAGGTTCTGTAAAATGACTAGATATTTTAGTTACTTAAGTTATCATAGTTTTTAAATAATTTAAAATATGAAACTATAAAAAACATGAGATCAACTTGGTATTTCTAATTCAAATGTAACATAGGTTTTTCCCTAACCTCTTTTTTCCCTTAAACTGAATATTTTGGTTCCTAAGATTATATTTATTAGCTTTATCTTAGAGTATTCAAAAACTTCAAAATAACAATACCAATATTATTATTTATAATAAACTATTGAACTAAATTTAAGATACATTGTAGTTCTTCTTGTCCATAGACTATATCTCACCAAAAATATTCACTAAGAAGACTGAATTCTAAAGTTCCTTGATATAATTATTTCTGTAACTACAATATATATGGTTCCAAAATTTGTTTTTAAATTTCCTGTTTTAAAATGGATTCTCCCCTAGAGCTTCTAAAAAGTTCTTCCAGGAAGACCTTCCTGGAGCAGCACTGTTAACACTTGATTTTTGCCATTGAGATCTGTGTTGGACTTCTGACCCATGGTCTGTAAGATAATAAGTTTCTTTGGTCATAGGCAAAAAATAATAATAATAATAAATAAATTTCCTGTTTTAAAATTCCTGTGTCCAAACTTCCCCTTCTTATCAGGATACCAGTCATATTTAAGATTTAAGTATGACTTTGGAATATGTAAGGCATTTATGTGGTTTAAAAGTTAAAACTAATGAAAGGTATTTTTGGAGAACTCTTATTTTCCTGTCCCTTAACAATTCTACACCAATTTCTATATTTAATTTCTGGGTTCGTCTTCTTTATCTTCTTCTTATTTTTTTTTTATATCGTTGATCTACAATTACATGAGGAACATTATGTTTACTAGGTTCCCCCCTTCACCAAGTCCGCCCAACAACCCCCATTAGAGTCACTGTCCATCAGAGTAGTAAGATGCTGTAGAATCACTACTTGTCTTCTCTGTGTTGCAAATCCCTCCCCGTACCGCCCCCATGTTATACGTGCTAATCATAATGCCCCCTTTCTTTTTCACCCCCCTTATCCTTCCCTTCCCTCCCATTCTCCCCAGTCCCTTTCCCTTTGGTAACTGTTAGTCCATTCTTGGGTTCTGTGAGTCTGCTGCTGTTTTGTTCCTTCAGTTTTTCCTTTTGTTCTTATACTCCACATATGAGTGAAATCATTTGGTACTTGTCTTTCTCCACCTGACATATTTCACTGAGCATAATACCCTCTAGCTTCAACCATGTTGTTGCAATGGTAGGATTTGTTTTCTTATGTCTGAATAATATTCCATTGTGTATATGTACCACATCTTCTTTATCCATTCATCTACTGATGGACACTTTTGTTGCTTCCATTTCTTGCCAATTGTAAATAGTGCTGCGATAAACACAGGATTGCATCTGCCTTTTTTCAAA